TATTGCTGTGGGAAGGCATTTCTGAGAGGACAGAGGATGCCACCCAATAAGAAAGACTGAGAGCTTGAAAAGCAAGCTTTTAGCAGTACAGAACATCTGCTGGACACCTTTCTACTTCTTATACAAAATATCGTCTGATCACAGAGGATCTGTTTGAAACAATACTTACACTTACATACGTATTGGTCGGTAATGTGTATTGTAACTAACCAAAATACGAGTAAATACATCAGGAGACCTGCAGCAGTCATGACTACTCCAAAATCACTAGAAAATAAGTATATCCTGATCAGTGTTAAGCCTCTCCAATACTGTGAGAGCATGTGCCAGAGAGACTGTCAGTAGTTCCTCATCAGTACTCAAAGCCCTTTTTCCTCTCCTCATAGGAGAAGAAGCCATCACTGGTGTGGCTAACAGCTCAGTCCTGCAAAGTCTCCACTGCCTAATGAGTCGCCTTTATACAAATGACTGCAATAACACAATCCAAGGCAGATGCTGCATTCTTCATTCAGATATAAAATAGATATTCTCCCTCAGCGAATGGCACAAGACAAGTGACATCTCTAAGACCCTGGAAACAAAAATGAGGCTGTCTCAGTTTTGGATGAAATTTGACAAGTTTCAAGTTAATGGGATTTCTATGATTTTTGAATAAATTTAAGCAGTGTGAAAGACATGAAGACACATGTTGGCTGCAAGAAAGCAGATGCTACTCCCCAAGTTCCTGGTACACAGGACAAATGTCTCTGCAAATCCCCACAAGGGACTGTGACTTTGGCTCACACAGACACAGAATGAATCTGGCAGATGAGAAAACCCAGCCTTGAATAATTGACATCATTGGTGGCAGAGGGCTGGGAAGAAATGAAAAGCACGTTGGAAAGCTAAAAAAAATGTGCAATTCAATTTTACAGTTCCATAAAAAAGGAAAGAGAGCATTTCATAGCTGGCAAGAAGTAAGGCCCAAGCTCTTAAGTTTCACTTCCACCACTGGCTGACATTTATAGTATTATTTATAAACAGCCTTTATGAAAATCAGTCAAGTCATAGTTCACATCACTATCACAAAGCAGAGTATTATTATGTACTCATTGTTTTCTTCTATATGAAAAAGCACAGAGTGAGGAGGATTAAATGTATATGCTTCTCTAGTGTGTACTTCAAGACAAAGCCCAGTGTTTGCTTTGCAGTGCATGAACAACCTCCTACAACCCAGAGAGAATCTTTAAAGCTGAGTAAGAAATGTACTTTCTTCTAGTTTGGATATTGATATTTCCAACAAGTACCTTGCAGCATACTTTTTTCTCCATTAATCATAATTGTTGATCTGCTAAATCTTTAATTCATGTAACTGTTACCCTGCCCTGCACTTCTTGAAATGACCGAGGAACTGCTTGTACAAGCCTGTATGCATAACTCCCTGTGTTACGAGGAACTAAGTTGAAAACTTCATCTCAAATATGTCTCAATAGCATTTCACAGGATACCCAGAAACTCTACTTACAGTGATAAGTTACACACCTGTTACTGAATCTCAGCTAACAAATCATCTAGCATAGACATTATGTCAGTGGCTCTAATATTCCAGGCAGCAGCTGAACTACTGCTAAGTTGAAGAGCTCACACTGCTGGCCTCTCCATTTCTGATGCAACAATCAGGATGAAAAGACAACATAGAAACATGCAAAGAACAGCAACAGAGAAGGGAGAACAAGAGAAAATACTCAAGAAAAACAAGCTTAAAAAAAAAAAAAAAAATGTGTTTTTACCTTTTTTTCCCTCAGAGTTTGAGTTGAATTAAGAACAGTTGGAATTATAGAAAGATTACCTTGCAATTACTTTTCCACATCAGAAAGCACTGCAGGAACTCCATGGATGCCCTGGATTGAGGGAAAGACTCAATCAAGGGAATTACAGTGAAAAAGGAGGCCATGTGATCACTGCAGATACAGGAGTGCTCTTAAAGTACTTCGCTGATGAAGGTAAATGAGAGAAGAGTGTTGCAGAGCTATATACATCTCCATCAGGAACCTCTGACTTCCTGTTTCAGGCCCCTCCCATCATCTTTGTTCAAATGGCAGGAGGGTAACTAGACATACACACCAGAATCAATAAGCTAGATGTCTCCAAAACATAGTTATAAGTTAGCAACTATCTTTGCATTAGTTTGACTTTGGAAAGGACTCAGTTCTACATCTTGCATAGGAGAAGCTGAACAGAGATAGGCCTGTGTAGGTTTAGACATTGAGGTTTCTATTTTTTAAAACTCTGGTCATTCTGTATTTTTCCATGCTTAGGAAGACAAACTTAATAATCAGGAGAACAGTTCATCCAAAAGAGTTATCAACCTCCAAATCCAAAAGAAGGGTGAGCATGTTTAGTCCTACTACTCTCTTGACAAGAAGAGATTTATGTCTGTCAAGCTGTTACAGGAATCTAAGGGAACTTTTAATCCTGAAGAATAACTGTTTTGTGCACAATATTTAAGTGCGTATTTGGGATGAAGTTTTTCAACCAAAACAACAAAAAAAGGAAGATTTTCTGACGTGTACTTGCATTGCATGTCCTAGTGAAATAGCCCAGCATGAAATGGTGGAATTGCACATCCATAAAACAATCAATTTTGTAGCCAAAGACTATACTGGAGATGAGTCTGTTCCTCATGTTTTAGTAGGCCTTTGAAGAGTTAGCATTTCCTGTCTAAAAATGCAGATTTTGATTTTGTTCTCCTGCTCCATATGTAAGGATTAGGGTCCCGCATACAGAGCTGCTTCTAACATGCTTCTGTAGAAGTTTAAAGTTTTCCTACAAAACTACACTAGCTGTAATCACAGAATGTCAGAATGGATTGGGTTCAAATGGTCCTCCGGGTTCACCTGCTCCAATACCTGCTCAAACAGGGACACCTAGAGCAGGCTACTCAGGAATATGTTGAGGCAGTTTTTAAAGATCTCCAAGAAGGGATACTACTATCTCAGTGCAACAGCTCACAGCTATAGACTGTGCTCTATCTAAGAGCATGTAACCATTTGTATTTAATTTTACTAAAAATAAATAATATAAAGGGAGGAAGTTGTGGCAGTTTTAGGAAGGTATGTTGGGATCCATAAAAACACTTGGGAACAAAGCTTATGCGACTGTACTACAAAAATCTCAGCAGAGGTTTCATGGGGGTTTCCCAAGAGCAGGTTTATAGTACTGAACTCAGTATTATCTACTTACTGCCTTTCAGGGATTCCACATATATCTACTAGAGGATGCAGGGTTGATTTAGACTATGCTCATCTTCTTTCCTGGGCAAAGAGGTTCCTGGGGATTTTTCTTTTTCAAAAGCAATAAAATAAAAATGTGTTGCTTCAGCCAAAAAAAACCCTGCAGACCGTTGCTTATCTTTCAAAGTGACAGCTTCTCTGATTATGTTCATTTTAGCAGAGCACAAAGATTTGAGCCATTTCTTGACTCCTAACTTAATCTGTTAACATGGTCTCCCTTTGACGTGGCTTGTCAGGTGATTGAGGGTCTCACACCCTCATTCTGATTTCCCCCTTCTGTGGTCACCAGTGCTCCTCCCTCCTCAAAAAAAATCCAACCTACTAAAGCACAGCATTCAGCTGGCTCTGTCTCCATCATATATCGTATTCCTCCTCTGTTTGGGAAAGGTGGAGTCTCCACATTCTCAATACTCAGCTGGCATTCATGTCCCCTCCCCCTCACAAAAAAAAAAAAAAAAAAAAAAAGAGAGAAAAAAAAAGTCATGGAGAAACTCCGAAGGTAAGAGTATCCAATCAGGCTTGGGCTTTGAGAGACAAATGTCAAAAGACATTTGAATTTAGATGGTTTCCAGGCCTCCAATTTCCACTTGCGTCTTCAGGCATTGCAGGCACCTCTGCCAGACTGCCTAAAATACTTCAGAACTGAGCAAGCTAGCCTGAGGAAGCATTGGGCCACGTCCTCCTGCCTTTCCTGGCAGCACCATGGAAGGACAGGGCGGTAAGGATGCCGACCGTGTCCTCCTCCGGCTGCATCACTCAGCCTCAGCCGGCTGGCTTCTCAAAGGAGACACTGTGCAAGTGCCCAGTGCTGGGTGAGGGGGCTGCTCCTGTGCCCCGATAAACGAGCAGTCTAGCAGCTTGTTTATTTGTTTGTTTTTCTGGGGGAATACAGGTTCACTCATCATTACAATAAGCACATTGAAGCGAGCACTTAGCCGGTGCTAAGTCTTCCAAGCCCAGAGCCCTGAATGAATGAGGCCAGTAAAAACTGCATACTGCAGAGTTTTAGTTGATGTTTTTCAAATTAGTGCCAGACTGAGGCACCCTGGTTTAAAAAGTGTTGCCGTGAGCATTGTAAATTAATATTTTATATTCCCTTGAAGTGCCTTTGGAGGAAATTAGCCTTCATTACAGAAGCATCTCCCCTGTAAACACAGCAAATACCTCTGCTGACAAGGACAGCACTGTAGGGCAGGCAAGGAGAGCAAACATTGAGTCTGGGGAAGAATTGGACTGATTCAGCAGCTGTATCCAGTGGGTAGGCAAATCCCTGCTCCCAAGTTGCCGCGTTCGGCCTTCTGCTACAATAGGGCCCATATTTCTATTCAGGGAGCAGCACCCCTAGCCCTACAGGGCTGCTGAAACACCGAGGACCTTTGTGTGGCTGCCAGCAGGGTGCTTCACCATCCTGAACTACCAGGCACCACTAGGAAATTTTGGTCACACTGCCTAAACCACGAAGACAGCAGGAGTATTGCTAGGCTTCAGAGCTTTAACACAGCCTGACAAGCACTACACTGGTTTTGGTGCTGGTGGGGAGGTTTCTCTGCAGCTAAGCCCATTGGAATTGAGCAAAGTTCTCATAACGGATTGTGCTCCCATCAGAAAGCAGCCCAATGCTGCTCTTCCCAGCAAAGTGCTGCTCTCTCCCTTTTTTGATGGAAGCAAGTTGGTATTCACCAGGAGCAAGCCAGAGCTATTTCAGACACGGAAGACAGAAGACACAAATCAATAGAAAAAAATAACTTCTTTTTATTTACAAAAAAAAATCCAAATATTGGATGCTGTAAACAAAATTCACAATCTGTTCCCTCCAGAGTCTGTTTCCCATCAGCTCTTTTTCTTTCTCTGACAACGCCTATAGTCAAAATGTTCCAAAAGAGCAATCCAAGGAGCAGTTTGCTGCAACAGGATGCCTTGCAGAAGGCAACAGTTGTATGGAAATCTGAGGGAAAGCAAATCTGCACAGACTCCTACGGACTGCAGGAGCCTGCAGTGCTTCAGCCAAGCTGTCTTGAAATTTGCAGGCTTTTTTTTTTTTTTTTAAACTATTTATTTTGTTAGCAAACCATTATTACAACAGCAAAACAGTACACTGATTTTCGTTCTCGCAAAGGAAACTCTCTGCATAAAGAAAACCATACAAAAGAATATATTCAAATAGAGCTGAATAGGCAATTACAGTTTTTCCTTTTCTGTGCAGTTTTATCTAACACACTTCATTTTCTCAATTAAAAAAAAAAAAAAAAAAAAAAAGCTTTTTTTGAAACTGGTAGGAGCTTCTCACACAATGCAAACCAAGCACTAAGTAAGAGGTGTTTCAAAGATTTGTATGAAGGCCTTTGTGCAAGACAAAACAAAAATATTTTCAGTAAGTGCAATAAAACTATAAAAATATCATCTTTTTGGTCGTTTAACTGCCCTTCTATTTTTGGAGGAAGTGTTCTTGCACTGGGGAGACAGCTACATCTAAGAAAAAAAATCCAATTTCAAAGCTCTCAGTTGTTTCGCGATAGCTCTACTGAACCAAGTTTAGCTCCCTCTCGGTTAGCAATAAATTCAGCTGCAGCACAAACAGTTTTACTGTAATCAGGTCAATGTTTTTAATCAGTTCAGCGCTTTAAAAGGGACACTGTCTCTTGCAGCAAGTTGTAGCCTTGCAGCTGATTGGATGAGAAAAATGAAGTCTACAAAGCAAGAATGTGGTTGTTAACTTTAAAAGTATCAGTGTAACGAAGGGCGGGAGGGGGAAACAGTTTTAAAAAGTCAGACTTTATGGAGAGGAAGGTGTGCAAACCGCAGGAATAAACCAGCTTTGAAAAGGGGTTCTTATTTAATTCTTGGCCTGAGCTCACACCTTCTTCCCACCTCTAACACCAGGCACCTTTTAAACTCCCATCACAGTTACAACAAAGCTCCACCAGTTCCACCACTTGCTCATTAACATATGCAAAACAGATCCAGAATACCTATATAATATATATAAAAACATATTATATATGTATCAAAATGCAAACGCTGAAAGGTGCAGTTTAGCTCAGAGCCCTGCTGCATGCACTATAAGGTAACTAGCTGCTGTCAATCATAAAAACACAATAAAATTTGAGCGGAGAGGAAGTAAATCAAAACTTTCTTCTAAGCAATGGAAAAAGGGTCCTTCGATGGAAAAATACATTTTGTCATGTACTATCAGCATTCTGTCGTTGTGGCACAGCTATAGATTCTCAGCCCCCCTCAGAAGAGCAGATGACTCATTTATTTGCTGCAAATAGCTGCGGCGAGAGAAGACATACCACATTACCAGCTGATCCTATTTCCCCAGCCCTCCCCGTGCTTCCGCTAGGAACCTTCCCTGAGCTGCCGGCAGTGCAACGCTTTGGCCAGCACCTTCCAGCTCTGCCAGCCGACACCGGCCCCTGTAACACGGGCCCTGCTCTGGCCTCAGAGAGGAGGAAGGCCTCAGGGGGGAGGAAGGGTTGGCGGGGACAAGGTCTCCGAGCAAACACAGCAAAGGGCAATGAAACAGATTGTACATTTCCTGAAGAATTCACAGGGAAGGTGCTTCTGTAAACAAATCAGGTTCCCGCTAGATTGCCTTCAGAGTTAAAAGTACAAAGCGCGACAAAAATAGATGTACCTTAGTAGCTCCGTAGGGAAAACACAGCCGGGACACGAGCCCTGTTCTCTCTAGCTCCTGCCTCCACACACACGAGACCATGCAAAGATGCACAGTTTTCTCTCAAAACCCTGAATTCCCTTTTCTTTTTTTTCCCCCCCCCCTCAGTAAAAAATAGCAAAATATCAGAGTCAAGTGTCATTGAGTTATTGGGGTTTCAAAGCCCAACAAAAATCTAACACCTTCAGGGATGGCACTGAAGTGAAAACAACAGCAGAGGTTTCATTTTCCCCCTGCTGGTCTTTTGGGAGAGGAAATGAAAGTGAATAGGTATTGTTCCAATGTAAAGTGATTCCATTTAAATAAAGTACAGTACTGAACTTGTAAATGCAGTGTGACAACCAGATCAAAGATGTTTAATATTTGCATAAAAATATATATATATATAATATATATATATATATAAAATATAATTTTAAGCAATCGTGCAACTCTTAAAAAGGGTTCACTTCACATTTACTAAATTCTAGTGGTCCTGGAATGCATCACGCATTCTATTAAAATACTCCTTTAAATATTAACAATTAGTGTTCAAATCTCCAACTAATACAATATCCTTTAGCTGTCAGGGGGTTTAAATAAACCTATCTTTGATCCACGTTCCACTGAATTACACATAATGGAGGTATGCAGTCACAACATTAGTGGGTTAAATGTCAAAATGGCATTACAGTACAAAATAGTTTAAAAAAAAAAAATCAGGTAGTCATATGTTTCTGTTTGTGGAATTATGGCTCACAAGCAATCCACTGAATTACTGTAATCCTTGTTCTTGCACCAAAGACATTATCCAAATCCCACCTTAATCCTGACTGGTTCATTTACTCCAAATTTCTCAGGTGTGGGTTAAAAATTCACTGCAAAGTGCCCACTGTCCTATGACATCCTGTTGCAAACTGGAAAACACATAGTACTTTATTTAAACATTCCTTAATTGCTACATTTTCCTAGACCACATTAATATATATTGTGTGTGTATATATATAGATATACACATATAACATGTACATATATACACACACAAACATATATACACACAAACACACACGTACCTAGGATAATAGCACACCGACATAACATTTACTCTATACAAGTATTTGCCAAGAAAAAAAATAGGGCATTTCCTCCACCACTTATTCACAAGCTTATGGTTGTTTTGCTTTTTAATCCTTGTGTCCCTGATAAAACAAAATGCATGGTTAAATCACAAAACTAGATTTTTCTCACTTCAAATTTTATGAAGGCATCAGGCACTTTTGATTACTATTGGTGTGTACAAATATAGCAACATCTTTTTTTTTCTGTTTTGTTTTTTATATATATATATATATATATTTTTATATATACTCTACTGTGTCTTCTTTGCTCAGATAACTTATTTGTGAAATCTTTGGTCCTTGAGCATACTTAGTTTGCCACAGCTGTTCTCCCTGCATTCTCACATTTTAAAAATGGGAGGCACGCACACACAGCTGGAAATAATGGACTTTGCCATCATGCGTGTTTCTGTTTTTCTAACTGTACCAATCTACTACTGTTCATTTGGAGCAAGCTGTTTCTGATAAAGCATTCTCTATTCAAGCAAGCTATACATTCTACACTGTCAATCCATAGACGGCACTTGCTGCAAGCCCCAAATGCAGTAATTCCAATATACATTTTAATTCAGCTTATCTCTGCTTTATGCCTCTACTTTTAATTCCTGAATATATATATATAATTGTTTTTTTGAGTTTTTTTTTTTTGTTGGTTTTTTTGTTTCTTTCATATTCTCCCTTTTGCAGATCCCATTCTAGAGTAAGAATAAAAACAAAAGAAATAAGGCTTTCCCATCTTCTCTATGCCAAAGCTATGGGAGCAGATACTGCCAACCCATATTGTCATCAAGCATTCCTCCCTCACTTATCTCAGGGGAAGCTGGTTGCTTTTAATGACAGGCCTCTTGTGCTCTGGGTAGGATCCAATTATTTTGGGGTTCTTTCTAGATCATGCTCCCATTGTTTGTTAGAAGAACCACAAGCTTTCACCAAGCTTGAAAACCAGAGCAGATCATCATTGCACAAAACACCCCATTTCAAAGGGGCTCATTGCCCCTTTCTACGCATTAGAAAAGGTTCTCCCCACTGGGTCTACTAATTTTGATCCTTAATTACAGGGCAGCCAGGTAGAGTACGTGTGCTGCTGGCATGGGAACACTGTCTGCACCTGGGCAATATAGTAATTGCTGAAGTTGGCATCTGCTACGTATGGGGCTGGCTGGTAATAACAGGTGACATTGGCCACATTGGGGATGATATTCTGCTCGGCTAGGACCCGGATGGCCAGCATGGTGATCAGATTCAGCGTCTGTCTCCTCTCATGTCCCATCAGGCACACTGTGCTCTCGTTCACCACACCATGAAGGGTCATGAGATAGTCATACTTGCGGTCCTCTAATCCCACAAAGTGGTTCTGCAAGTAGGACTCCAGCTTCCTCTGCTGTTCTCCAATGTCTGAGAAGTCAATGAAAAACCTCGAGCACATGTATCTCTGCAGGGATTTAATCTCGGATTCAGAGGCAGCCCTAAAGCCCCTTACCAAAAGGTTGCAGTACTTCAGCAAACCGCCTCCTCTGATCTCTTCGGGGTTTCTGGTAGCAATGATCTTGTTGCAGAGGTGATCAAAAGCTTCTTGGAAATCCCCATAGACGCTCTCGCCGATGATGGTCGGGTGAAATGTCTCAGTCATTGGATTCTCTGAGCATTCATAAAAAAGCAGCAGGGAGTCCAGCTTGATTTGGAAGGAATCAACACTGAATTCAAACTGCCGCCTCAGAGAGTCCACGAACTTCAGCTCCACATTCTTGCCACTGTTGTTGGACAAGGAGATGAGACTCCACCGGTCAGAATCATTGCATACTTTGACCATTTTCTGCACGTAAGCTTCCTACAAGTGCAAAGAGAATATGAGCAAACCCCCTTGCAGCCACTTGCCATCTCTACCCAGCCCTAGCAGTGCATGAAAGGAGCCTGCAGGTAGGGACCGGAGGGGACATGCAGCATGGGAGCACTGTCACTGCACAGGGATGACATGGGGATGTCCTGTTGGGGCTGTCGTGCAAGAGAAGTCCTTGGCACCTCTGCTTCTTTCAAGCACTTCTAAATACATATGCATGCAAACCCGAGGGTGCGCATGCCAAACAGCTGTGCACCCACACACAAAAGGTCACTGCTATTATATCTTTTTTTTAAACAACAGCTTCCACTTCCCACCCTCTCAGCTCCCCCGAAATACTATTACTAATAATAATAATTAAAAAAAAAACACTCAGCAAATGTTCTCTCTCTTCAACCCCGTTCCTTCAGCGCAGCTTCCAAACTGCCCCTCTGAAAATCTCAAAGGCATTTGGCACGCAGCCTTAATAAACCGGAGCGAGCTGTCTATGTGGAGAGGGAACACCGCCGGGGCACTGAGACAGACAGCGATGTGAGCAGAGCCAGCGGCAGCCTCCTGCTCGCCTCCCACCACCTCGGGTTTGGGACAGCGGGCACCGCACCACCAGGGCATCCGGGCACGCCGGGTGGGTCAATGCTCCCGGCAAACTACATGGCTCCGAGGAAGGTGAGCCGAGGAGCAACAGACAGGGCACCTTCCTGCAAGCTCAGCTTCCAAAGGTGGGGTAATGTCACCAGTGGGTGTCGGGTGGGCACGGACGGAGCGCCCCGCACGCCCTGCTCGCAGCGGGCGCTACACCTGCGCGCTCCGCACGCTCAACGAGCAGCTCTGTGGGCTTACCTTGAGGGTGAGCGGCGTGATCTTCTCCTTATTCACCCCCTCGGGCAAGAAATCCAAGAGGCAGTCCAAGACCACGTCCTTCACAGTCTGAAACTCGGCTTCCCCTTTGAGGTCGGCACAGAAGATGAGGTCCAAGTCCTTGTAGCCCAGGCCGCTGTCTTGGTGCAGGACGTGGCTGGCGGCCGAGCCGTTGAGCCGCACGTCCCGCAGCCCGATGCCCTTCTCCTCCAGCCGGCTCCGCACCACTTTGACGATCTGCCGGGGCTGCATGGCCAGCGTGGGGAAGTTGCCGCGGCCGTGGATGGGGATGGTCTCGCTGAGGATGCGATCCAGCCGCTGCACTTGCTCCCAGCTCAGTACGTTGCAGTGCGCGCTCTCGCAGCCTCCCGCGTAACCCCCGCCGGCCTTCTCATCGTCCGCCATGGTGCGCGGCCTCCGCGGGCTGCCCGGCCCCGCTGCGGCTCCTCGCTGCCCTTCCTCCGCGCCTGGCAAGAGAGGAAAAGCGAGCGGTCAGCGCCGGCAGCCCCCCCCGCCCCCGAGGCGCCGGGGGCACGCACCCACGGCTCCGGTTAAAAAAGGGAAAGAAAAAATAAAAATGAAATGAAATGAACGCGGGAGACGCGGTGCGGGCAGGGGGAGCGCCCGACCTGCGGAGCCGCCGCTGCCCTCGCCCCCCGCTGGGGCTGAGGCCGCCCCGCGCTGTCGGTGAGGCCGCCCCGCGCCGCGCCGCCCCGCTCGCCGCCGCCGTCTCCGGAGCTTTCGTAGTTCTGCCCGGGGAAGGTCCCCAGTAGTTTTTATACGGGGTTTCTCCGCTCTTCCGGGGCTCCGAGTCACGGCGCCCGCGTCCCGCCCCCTCCATCTGCATGGCCGGCCTCGCCGGTGCCCCCGGCACGCCCACCCCGTGCGCACCCACGGGCCGCCCCGCGGCTCGGCACGGCTCGGGCACGGCGCGGTTTGGCACCGCGCGGCGCAGCGCTGCGCAGCGTCCCTCCCAGCTGGCTCTGGCTGCTGGCCGAGGGGGGAGGCAACAAGTGTACCCCTCCGCGGGGCAAGGTGCGCGCCCACGGCTGCCAGGCATTCCCTTCTTATTATTAGATTCCTGATTTTTAACCCCTTTCACCGCCCCCGCGGCGTTCCCTTACGCTCCAGGCGCAGCCGGCTCCGTAGCAGAGCGCCGGAATGCGGCTCGGAGCTGCGCGCTGCCCGACGCGATTTTCGGAGCCTTTGCGAGGAGGAGATCCCCCGAAAGCGCTGTAACGGGGCAGCGCCGTGCGTTGGGAGAAGCTGCCTGAAAAGTGTGGTGATTGCGGAGGGGAGGGAAATATTTAACACATACGTGTAATTTTAATTTTTTTTTTTTTTTTAATGTTCAATTTGAATAATGTTATTTGCCTGGTTTTCACCTGCTCCGGGAGCCCAAAGCGCACACCTTATCCGATCCCGCTGCGCGCAGCCACCGGCGCTGCACGGCTGCTACGCGCCGCAGCGCCTCCTGCGCCCCCCGCGCAGCGCACGCGCAGGTTGCGCGGGGAGAAAGCGGCTACGGAGGGAGGTGGGGGGGAGGAAGCGTGCGGGCGTTGCGTCACCGCTCGGGGCTTCGTGACGCGCGGCGCGTGGGGCCAATGAGGGCGCCCGGCGCTGTGACGCGCTGCCGCCCCGAGCGGGCGCTCCGCCAACGTGGGGGGGGAAGGGGGAGGAAGGGGGGGGATAGGAGGGGGGTGACGAAGATGGAGCGTAGGGCGACCCTCCTCAGCTTTAGCTCCTCTCATTTTAGATCTCCCCATCACACTCCGCGGGGGTAGGGTTTGTGTGCGGCTGCCGTACCCGCAATGTGCGTGCACCGAACAGGGCGAGCACAGGCGGCGCCTCCCGCCCGAAAAAGCCCCGAGGGTGCGCCCGGTGCCGCTGACCCCCGGTACAACGGGGAAGGCCCCACCGACCGCCCGCCGCCGCCGCTCGCTGCCGCGTGACAATGGCGCCCCCTCCCGGGCGGCGAGCGCTGCAGGGGGCACCGCCGCGCAGAATGGCCTCGCTTCCCGGCAGGGTTTGGGGGTGTTGTGGGAGTAAGGACTCGAAAAGTACGAGTTGCAGCCCGCGATCTCCTTCAATCACCTTCTGTCCCCACCCGGGGAACCGCGCGGAGCCATTGCTGTACTGGGGAGCCCTGTGCCTGCTGGAAAGTGAGAGGCCAGGAGAACGGTGCAGAGTCCTGTGCCAAGGCGGTTATTGAAAGGAAAAAAAGAAAAAAAAAAGAAGAAGCAGGAAGCTTTTAAAATCGGGATGTGTGTACACATGAGCGCAGGCTGAAAGCAGGAGCGCTGTATCTCATATCCGCTGGCGGGGCCTGGCAGCCATTAAAATAAACATGCTCAGAGGGGCAGCGGCAGCCTGCTGAAGGCTTCTGGCCTCCCAGCACCCCAAGGCCTTGGAGCCACGACCTCCCTGGGCCCGAGTGTTCAAGGGCAGCCTTGTATGGAGGGAACCATGGGGGCCACAGCACCGCCAGGCTGGTCAGGGCCCTGTACTTTGCCCAGGAGAACCAAAGCGCTCAGTGGCACCTGTGTTCATCTGCTAGAGTGAGTGCTGCCCTTGGCCACAGGCCAGCTGGCAGTGGCTGGAGAGCTGACCCAGAAGGGATCCGAGCTGCCCCTTTATTCCAATTTAAACTAGGCCATCCCTGAGAGTCCGAGCAAGGACTGGCTAGTGAGAGGCAGCGTTTAATTTGACTTCCCAGCATGTGGCAGTGAAACTTTAGCAGTATTAATTATAGCAGCGCCACAGAGCATTAGGTAGGCTGGTAGGATTTGATGCTATTTTATATGCATCTTATTTCTTTTCTCTTTCAAGTTGTTACCGCTTGCAAACTTCAGAAGGAGGGTAGGCAGAAGCTCATTCTGGAGAATACCACTCTGGTGAAGGAATAGTAGGAGTAACACTTTTCAGTTCAGAAAGGTACATAGGATATTCATCATCATGCTCTTATATATATATATAAACTATGAATTATTTGCATCAATGTCAGATTCTTTTTACATCTCTTCCCCTAATTAATGGACACTAGATCAAGGCTGTATTTTCTTTATTAAGCTGCCTACATACCGTGGATAAAGTGGAAATAGATCTTTACCAGTGCAGGCTGTTTTTTAGAGTAGAGGAGTATTCTGTATTTGTTATTCTTATGTTGTACTCGAATGTGGAATTTTTGTTAAGTCATTGAAAACTGTAGAATGAAATGTAATTAGGGTGCATCATGTTGTGGGAAATTCAGAAATATTTGTATGAGTTTCAGAAATCATTCTAATTATGACTGATCCTGGTGATTCTCCAGCTAATAAAAGCATTAATTCAGCTCATGAAAATGCACTGTGCTTTTAATGACAAGTAAGTATTTTTCGAAGGAAAAGGTTTTGTTACTTTTAATTGCCAATGTGAGAAGAAATTCTTTGACAGCATTTGGGCGGGATTACTCATGCAGGCAGTTTGCATTGCCCAAGTGGTTAATGGGAAGGTAAGATGTACGGCATGAACTCTACCTTTCTGTAAGTCTACACCAAATTGCTCAGTTAATCCCTTCACCCCAGCAGTGTTCTCCTTCTTGCTCCAGAACAAAGGAAGATTAGCAATACTGTGTTTCTGTGTGTGTTCGCGTGTGCTTGGCTGAAAGTCTTCAGTGTGAGAACTGCTGCACAGAACCAAACAGACTTTCCAGGTAAATTCTGCTGAATTGAAGAATTCTCTGTGTTTTCCTGATTGAACTCCATGCAAGTTGCCCATAACATCATCTTGGTTCCATTTTGCCCACTACATGCTATCTAGAACAGGAACATGCATTCTTTTGATGGAAAAAAAAAGCAAAAAAATTTTGACTCTTCATTTGTGTCTCCCAGAGCTTCTACTCAGAAGCAGTGGCAGCAGGGCTGGAGATGGAAGCAGCTGCTTGGAGGCTTTGGTTTCGCACATCCAAGTTTTGCCTGTGTCTGGGACTAAGCATCCCCATCTTGCACATTCCCCCACTTGATGGGTTTAAGTGGAAGGAACAGGGTTTGCAGTCCATGGCTGCTCTGTTAATGCAGCCAAGGTACAAATGGATGGATTGACAGTTAGGGAATTTACCCCTGAACAGCAGTGCCACTTCAGGCACAGAACTAGTGTTAATTCAGCCAGAGGTATTTGCTTTTGTTAAGAACATCAGTCTCATCACCCTGTATTAACAGTGGCAGCCTTCTGTCCAGGGATTATTTTGCAGAAAGACATCCAGAACGAGTCAGAGAAGTCTAAAAACCTCTTTCAGAAGTTTAGAAGGAAGACGCAGCAAAATGTTATCCCTACAGTGTCACAAAAACTTTTGTAATATCATTTCATATAGAGCCCAGGGGCACTTAAAGCATTAAAAATTGTTTTCTGCTTCCTAAAGGTGGAAAGATGGAGCTGGGCAGCAGTTACCTGCAAACTTAATTGTGTTGGCACCCAATTTCTTGCTGGAAACAAGATTGTTCCTAACTGTCCTTGATCCAGCCAACATATGGATTTCTCAGCTCACCTTCAGATTTCTGGAGAGTTCAGGCCACAAAGTCCTCCTCTCCACATCCCTAAGGGAGGCAGCTTCCATCCCATTGCCTCCATAGCACAGGTGGGCAGCCAGCAGCATGCAGAGCTGCGGGGAGATGCCAAGAGGACATCAGCCACCAGAATGAGGAGTTCAAAGCACTCCTGACTTGGCTGGGAAGAGACTTTCCTTAGCAAAATGACTATTCATACCTTTGACAATAGAACAAGACATCGTACTTTCAAAGTAAGGTCTAAGACCTGGGTGTCTATAATGGACATACCTGCAAGCCTTTCCAAACCATTATTCGTTCATCTCTTTTCCCAAAACTAGTCTAGGTAAAGCTTGAGCATGGATGTGGGGGCAGAATTCAAAAGCTGGTTTGTTTTGGTTTTGCTTCAGTTTATTTTTGGAAGAGCATTCAAGCCTGATTTTAAAATTCTTTTCAGAGACTGTATAAAAAAAAATTCTAATACCTTAATGTTCCATATATTTTATTGCCAACATTTATTTCCATATGTGATACCAGTAAAAATTACTACATCTTATAACACAATGGCCTATAGTAAGAATTTGTACTGGAGTTAGCACTGACTACTCAACACCAAAGCCCTTTGAATGCAATGAAAATTAGAGATCTCTAGGAAATAGTCTTCTCAAAATTAAATAGAAGAAATTTTTGTGCTTTGAAAGTACTGCAGCCCTGTTAGTTTTGTTTTCCTTCTGCCAGTTTTTACTGGAAAGATGTTTTACTCAACCTGGGAAAAATATCAACATTTGGACTAAATGCTGTGTTGTTTTGAAAAGGTGCAGTTTAGAGCAGGCCAAATTAGCAGATTTTTCTGATGAGCCTGCCAGAAGCTTTTTGCAACTCTGCTGAGAAAGTGCTTGTTAAATGGAATAGCAGTGTTCAACACGT